GTTTTGCACATTAATACTTCGTAATTAAGAGATTTGAATCAGATTTTGTCTATAAAGTCCTTTATAAATGAAAATGCTTTTGCTGATTGTAAGTATTGGAGAACTGACAGTACATTATAAGGTGCGGACCAGTATAAACATGTTTTTAGTTCAGGTCTTGATCCATACCAAAGTTTCTTTAAGTTCTTGTTTTTTCATGGCAGCATTTTCTTCAAGTMCATTTGTTTGATTTGTTACAGCTTTTAGATTAAGTGAAGTAATTAGAAATTAGCTCTGGATGTTTTTTAGTTTAGTGTTCTTTTTTAAATTGTCATTTCAAGCTGTTATGTTTTATGCTGCATATTGAAGCTTTGAGGAAAAAGTTTCTTTGTTGCAAAAATCTTAAAATACAGGTCTTTTATTTCACATTTACTYAATAAAACATTCCACACTTTAATGTTTATTTGGCTTTATTGTTAATTACATTTTTCTTTCCATGAAAAAGATGGAGACAAAACTTTGGTGATTTCAGTCTGGCCCATGGATGAGTTTATTTTATTATTATTTAAGACTTGAATGACAAAATATTTCGAAGTTGCAATCATATATGACAGGGCTGTACATCTCAGTCTGCCTGTCAATGATTTTATTTCATATAAAAAACCTTAAATCAAAAAAAATTAAAGTAGACCATTTATCGGCCACCTGAGCTGATTTAACTGTGGCCCCCTGAGCATTTTAATTGCCATAGACATTATTTGTGGTCCTCCATAACTCAATGAGATAAACTTGTTAAACTCACTCAATAAAGTAAAGAAAATAATAGCACTGTAATAAAAGCTAACTGATTATAAGGTAATATATCCGTTCTCCTTTGTCAATGTATTAAAACACAGAACCTTGATTACCGTAGTTACATTTGTACCAATGGAATAAAGATAAAATACAGTATATACCAAAATGATTCCCACAAATTACAAAACTTCACAAACCACCTCTGTAGAGAACATGTAACAAATCATTTTTCCACAGCTGGAACAACTTGTCTGATAGTAGGAGTGCATCCCACAAGAGCATTTCCATTGTTCTTGATAACTTCTGCTGACATTTTCCTTCCCCAGCTGAACAAAAGGGACGAGGTCCCAGTTGTTGACATTTGCCTCAATGGTGATAATCTCCTTCCTCTGGTATTGCCCACTTCGGCTGAAAAAAGACAAGTTGCAGGACACAAAATTCCAAAACACTTCCACCGTCTCAGGTCGTGGTACTTTATCCAGATCTGCGAGAAATTTAGCATGACCCTTGAATTTTCCCTGTGAGGTTCCTTGGTTCTGTTTCCACTGACCTGAACCGGAAGGTGCATCAGGACCTTGGACATTCTCTGTTGTAAGACAGCTGAGTTTGTTGTCCTGACAGGACAGTCCAAAGACAGGTCCATCCTTCGAACTCTTAGCAGACTGCTTACCACACAGACCAATCATCCAGTCAGATGTTTGGGTGAGGCTAACGACCCACCTCTGACAGTTGGGACTTGAGGAAGAACTATGGATCAGAAGTGTGGCATAGCATTGTCCCAGCCAGCTGTTACAGAAAACCTATTTGTTGTTGGAGAGTGACATGGAGGAACGCACTGTGGTTCAAAAATCAGGTCTGAACTAGTAGCAGTGAGCCCCTGGTGGTGTTCAGGGTCAACCAGGATCAGCAATGACTCTATGAAGTCAGACG